CCCCCTGGCAACGGATCTGCGTCTTGGTGCTGACAATGCGCGTGACCAGGTGCCTGTCCCTGCAGATGCTGGCTGGCCCTTAACATGCAGCCAGCCAAGTGTCCCTGCCGCCTGCCAGCCTTGCTTCTGGCCCACACTCCTTGCCCGGGGGTGGGCAGGAGCACGAGGGTGAAGGAGGAGATGGTCTGAGCACCTCTTTCTGCGCAGTCCAGCCGCCTCCCAGCCAGAGGGAGAGAGACTGGAACTCGGCCTGTTCTGCTGTTCTGCTCCCTGACCACAGGGGGTGGTGTGATCCCAGGGGGCTCAGGGTCCCTCAGTGTAAAATACACCCCGTATCTTCTTGGGGCAGCTTCTGCCACAGCATCTGGAACGCCCCCCCCCCCCGGGCATGGGTGAGGGGCATTTCGTTGGACATGTGCGAGTCCAAAGGAGTGGGCAGCGATGGGCACTTCTCAGCAGCGGCTGCCGGGGTTCCTCCTGCGACGTGGGCCGGCAGTCTCTTCTCGCAGCTGAGATGCAAGTCCAGGAGGGCCAGGCCCAGGCCACAGGCTCTGTGAGATACTAGTGCGCCTGGGACACGGGAAAGAGCACGTGATTTGGAGTCAGTCAGGCCCGGGGTGGAATCCCAGCTTGACAATGAACTCTTGGGCGAGTCAGGTGAGCGGCCTGGGCCTCAGGTTCCCCACCGGTCGAGTAGAATAATAGAAGGCAGCCCAGCCGAGGGTGGCAGTGTTGTTGCTTGCCATGTCCCCTCCGGAAACGCAGTTTTTGTTTCTGGGCTCCTAGGCCTGTATGAACTTCACCTCGCCACCGATAGCCCTGCCACCACGGGGGCAGAGGTGAACATCACGGCGAGCCTGGTGGCCAGCGACAACGGCAGCCTGGTCCTGCCCACCGACCCGCACTCCTACCGCTTCCACTGGGTCCACAGCCCGCTGATGCTCAAGGGGAAGACGGAGGAGGCGTTCAGATCCACCATCCGCGCCGTGGGCAACGTGCCTGGGGACTTCCCCATCGCCGTGTGGGTCACCAGCGCCGACTGCCAGATGTGCCAGCCGGTGGCGAGGAGCCGCCTCGTCCTCTCCATCACAGGTGGGGACCTTTCCTGCTTGCTAATTGGCCTTCAGACTCTGGGTGCAGGGAAACATCGGCCTGGCTGGTAATGACAGAAATGCACACTAGACCCCTGACTCCTCTGTGCTCAGTTGAGTTAACAAAGGATCAGCCTGGTCCACCTGGCTCAGTGGTTGAGTGTCG